GAAGATTCTGTACCATTTCCTAAATCTCTGGGGTCGGTATGGACTCTACCAGCAACAAAGTATCCGCCATGCTGGCAGCCTCTGTGTCCACCTGGCACATGTGTCCACAGCTTCAGTAATTGTCAACCAACCTTTAATTCAAGTCAGCTTGATCTGCAGGTGGATTCATCAGGTAAGAGAGCCTGCACACTAGAATGAAATATGACTCATGGCTACTGTCACCAGTGGATCCTAATTTGGAAGGGGGACATTGGGCAGAGGAGACACATCACTGGAAGGAGGCCAATTGAAACATATGATGGTGTTGACAGGATAAGTCTCCCAAATGGGAAACAGGAGTTCTTCCCAGGAAAAGATCTGGAGAGATGACAGGACAGTACCCTGGGGGGGTGGCCCACCTGTGCCTGCAGCCATTGGGTTTTGGCCATCACTGTCTGGAGGAACTGCAACCTCACAGAAGTCACTGGCAAGAGGAGAACAGGGCTGTTTACAATTGTTTTATTTGTAGGTCATTTATGTACTAAGTGCCCTAAAACACTGAGCCGACCCCTGTTCCCTTAAGTCCATGTACACCCGAGGGCACTGCCCCTGGGGAATTCCTTTCCTGGAGAGTCCTTGCTGGACTTCCTTGGCTGGCTGCATCTTGCCCAGATCAGTCACAGGTAACACCTGTCAATGTAGGGGGCTGACAGCCACTTCAAAGGGGTACACTGCTGCCTTCATAACCCAAGTGCCTTCTTGCAGGTGAGGCTTTCTGGCAGGTACCATGGTGATACCTGTACCCCACAGGGGCCTCCGGCCTATTTCCCATCAAGTCCTGTCTGACTCGTGGGCGCCTGACCTGCACTGGCTTCACGGTTCTGAGGTATGGGGGAGGTGTGTTGGGGAAGCCCACCGAGTCCTAGATCTGGCGGGAGATTCTTTCCCAGCCCCCGTCTCCACATTCAGAGAACATGTGCGGAAATGAGGCAGGGCTACAGTCTTTGTCCTGGAGTCACCTCCTCTGTGCCCGCCACTTTCTGGTCTTGCTGGTGAAGTGGTTGGTTTTGCCCCTGGAGCTGGTCCTGCTCAGCCCGGCCCCTCGCTCCCATGGAGGAGCCTGCTGCACCATCTGTTTCCATGGCGCTCTCTCTGATGGATTCCCGCCCCGGAGAAGACTTTTGAGGCCTTTGAGATGCAAATTCACTTTGTGTACACCTCCCAGTCCTGGACACTGACTGGATGGAACTTTCAAACAGGGCTCCAGAGATGTGTGCTGAGCTCCAGGTGTGTGTCCAGCAGTTGCACGATGGAGGCCCCGCAGTGCAGCAGCTCTGCCCAGACCCGTGTCCCCAGGCTCTGTGGATGACGATTT